AAAATTTGAATACATGAAACTGAGGCTCCCAACGCTTTCCACCAGAGGTTTCTCGGAGAAAAAGAGACGCTGCTAAGCAGCTCGGCCAATCTCGCTGCTTCGCAGCCTGAAAGGATTGTAAACAGGGAGAAAAAGAGAAACCTCTGGAGCCAGGGTAACCTGACGTATCACTGCAGCAACCCATTCCTCCCCCGCCACCCCCAGCAGTGGAAACCCAGGTCTTGGAAGAAGGCAAGATACCTGATTCAGGTAATTATCAATACGGTACTCTGGAGGAGTTACTGGCCAGTGTAGGAGCCTGCTACCCTTGCCCCATTCATAACGAGGGTATGAATGAAATACATTCGCAGAAAGAATGGATACAAGACGTGTAACTTAAGTGTCAGGTGGATAATTGCCCAGTGTTTACCAGTTTAAAGGATTACAGTTCCTATCAATACACTGTGGTAAATGACCACCCTTCTAACTTGGATGAAGTGAAATATGGTGTTCCCCAAGGATCCCTCCTGGGTCCAAGGCTTTATACTATCTACGTCAATGACCTCCCTAATGCTATTACATCTGGAGACTCGTTCATGTATGCAGATGATACAACATTATATTGTGTGGGGAAGAACTTTGATCAGGTCTGCTCACAATTAAACAACATTCTCGAGCAACTTCTGCTTTGGAGTACAACGAACAAACTTTGTATTCATCCTGTAAAGTCTGAAGTTATGATCCTTAGCAAATCGGGCTTCATTGGTCCTGCTCCTCCAATATGCTTCGGAAATAATTTTATTAATGTTGTTAATAAGACCACTTGTTTGGGATTAATCATTGACAATAGGCTTACACGGGCATTGCATGTGGACCATGTAAAAAATCCTTTGCACAGAAAGTGGGCGCATTAAAAAGAATGAAGAAGCTTCCTGTGAAAGCGCTGGAGGAAATTTACTTTAAATCTATTGTACCTGTGGTATCGTATGGTATTGTGGTGTGGGGAAACTGCAATTATTCTATTATGGAATCCTTAAACCCTATACATGCAAGAGCTGCACGAGTTATCCACCAGGATAAAAGTCTTGAAGAGTTAAATTGGTTGCCAATTTCTTACATATATAAAAGAAGACTCCTTCTTCTGATGCACGATGTTTTAAATGATAAAATCTTATATGCCCCTTTTAATTTGAAGTTACGCAACAGACCCTCACGTACAGGAGGGTTACAGGTTGAAATCCCTAGAGTGAACTACAAAGTGGGAAAGGAATCAGCACAATACAGAGGACCTGTAATCTGGAATTTTATTGCTAGGCTGGCAAATTTTAATGTGGACATTCAAAAAGACAGTTTTAAAAATATTTTACGTAAGCTCTCACAGAACATAAATAGCTTCTCTTTTGAAGCGCCTATGATTGCTATGAAAAACAGAGATTTTGTATATTTTTAAGTTTTTTTACATTGCATGTAAACTTTTGCATTAATTCGTGACTTGTTTGCTAATGAATTTTATTACAATGATCGTATTGAATATTTAAATACCATAGGGTGACTTTATGAATTATTTTAGTTTTACATTTTATTAGTTCGTTGTAGGTCCACATCAGCCTTATGGCTGCCCCCTTCCTTACAACCTGCATTACTAAATAAAATGATTGATTGATTGATTGATTACCATGGCTGTTGCAAACAAGAGAACGAATGGTTTACCCTGGAAAGGATTGCATCGATGAAATGCGATTGTGGCGAGACTCCTACATTGGCCATGTCCAAGTCAGAGAAAAATTTCCATCAATTCTATCTTTGCTGTAGAAACAATTATTGTAAATTGTTTCAGTGGTGGCGATATTATCCCAAAGAGAGAAACTACTTTATTCTCACGGGTTAAATTTTTTTCTTTAGACTCTGACGACACTGAAGATTTGATCACCATAAGAGTAAAAGTAGGAAAACATTTATTTGTTGGAATGTTGTCATTATTAGAAGCAGCAGTGTTATTCGGTTTAGAAGTAATAGAAGATCAATTTATTTCATAGATTTTCAAGAAGGACTCCAAATAGCTCGCGCCATGGGAAATGCCACTAAGCTGGAAGAACTCACCGAGGAGGACATTTTTGAAATAGCCAAGTTGATCGGCTTTGAAAAGTTTAAGAAAGTGTCGTCTAGATTAAATGTCACTGAATACGAATTAGATAGTATTAAATACGATCTAGAATTGTACGATTGTCTTAAACACGATCCAGAAATGTTCGAGTATGTTAGGAATAGGTAAATAAAAGTGTGTGATGTGAACCAAGTCTCTGTCATTTGTTTGTAAACTGCATCGGGGGTAAACTATGTCTCTGTGGTCAAAACTACTTCACCTGCATTACTCTGTAGTCTCCTTATGTCGGAGAATAGAGAATCTCGTCTACGATTCAGATCGTAGACGTGTTCCTTACGATTGGGTTCCTCATGGATGCGAACTTACCTTGTTCACCTACGTAGTGAGACCAGCAAGATTTTCCCTAAATGAAAGACTCTTTCACCTGATGTTATTCATGAGATGGTATCGCGGGAAATATTCCTATAGAATCTATTGCCGGCTTTACTCTCAGTACCTTTGCAAGTATTGGATGACGTATTACGTCACCAAAGTATGGATGACTTTGATACTTCTCAAGTGTTATTACAGAATAAAATGCCCAAGACAAACACTCAATGCCATGAATACCAATCATCTGGATATCATGAGAGTTTAGGTATGTCAATCAGAAAAAATGACAGGTGTCAATCATGGCCTTGAGTGTATAAGAGTAGATAGGAGTCATTACAATCATTTGCTGGGTCAAGATGAAGCAAGTCAGATTTCATCCCAACAGACGAGTGGTATATCTTACAGAGAGTCTACCTTCCATAGAAGTTCAAGAGAAGATGAATACATCAAACTGTACCTGGATACACCGTTTAAACAAACAAAAAAAAAGAGTTAAAATTTAGACAACATAACAAGTACATATATGCCAGCAAATTTTTCACCAAACCTCGTCATCTCCCTTTCACAAGCCAAAAAAGAATTGGAAAAGAATTTAGCCTATACCCTACGCAAACCGCGTCGTCGCCGAGGAGAGTTTGCACCCGTGATAGTCTTTGATATCGACGAACAATGGGTAGCCGATTTTATCGAAGTACAGACCATTGCCAAAGAGAATAAAGGGAATCGTTACATTTTGGTCGTGGTCGATGTGTTTTCTAAACATGCGTGGGCAGTACCCCTTAAAAAGAAAACGGGGAAAGAAGTCACCGAACCGTGTAGGAAAATTGTGACACAGGGAAGGATACCTCAGAAATTACAAACGGATGCTGGTAAAGAAATTTTATAACAAGACCTTTCAAACATGGCTCACTTGTCAAGGAATCCATCATTTTTCTACGCACGGAGATGCTAAAGCGAGTATTGCCGAAAGATTCATTCGTACCTTAAAAACGAAGCTGTATCGCTATTTCACGGCGGCTAACACGCTAAAATATACCGATGTCTTACCCAAATTACTCTCGCTATATAATCGGTCCTATCATCGCAGCATACACACGGCCCCCATGAAAGTGTCTGAAAAGAATCTAGAACAAGTGTGGGAATCGTTGTACGGAGAATTAAAGACAGACAAGAAACCGGTATTTAAAGTGGGAGATAAAGTAAGGCTGAATAAGAAATTTCGTCCATTTAAAAAGAGTTATTTACCCGGTTGGACAGAGGAAGTATTTGAAATTTGTAAAGTCGTACCAGGCCAAGTGACGACTTACAAAGTGCGAGAATTAGACAAAACACCCTTGCAAGGGAGTTTTTATTCGTTGGATTTACAAAAAGTTTACCTGGATGCCGCGACGTTTTTTCAAGTGGAGAAAGTATTAAAACGGGCCAAAGATAAATTATTTGTCAAGTGGAAAGGATACCCTAGTAAATATAACAGTTGGATTTACAAAAAAGATTTAAAGTAATTGGTGACATCATGAGAAGTGGATCGTTACTGAGATTGCAAGTCTACGTCCCCGGAGACCAGAAAGGGGGGTCGTTGCATCGATGGCCATCACACCCCCCTCCTTCCTTCGGAAGTTGGGGTACACAAGTAGGAGCAGGAATTAAAGACATGGTCAAAGATGTGGCAAAGGGAACGGGGAGAAGCCTTAAAAGAACGTTCACGCAACGATCTTTGTCAGAATTTCCTAGAGGGGTGAAGAGAGGAGTAAAAAGAGCCGTCAAGCACGAAGTACAGAGAAGAGTGACTAGGAAACTCAACGATATTTTTGACGATTAAAGGATGGTATACTGGGGAGAAGCCAGAGAAGGAAGTGGGCATATAGGTGTGGGATCCTCGACCCCCGGTGATGTAGTGAAGACTATCTTAAAACAGTATAAAAGAAGAAGGAAACAGCGAGGAGGGTTTGTACGTATAAAGAAATTGCAGAGGCGTCGCAGAGTTCAGAAATGCAGGAGACGTTGAAGCATCAACATGTCCATCAAAGGCGCAGAACAGAACCCGAGTTTGAATTTGTTTCTCGTGCTACCTGTAGATCTTTCTACGGTGAAATCGCGTTTTATGAAAGTATCCCCACAGACTTCCAGCATTACACCCATAGAAATCTAGGTTCCTAAACAGACGGAGTTTATTGATTGGTGCAGAAGTTTTGTGGAATTAGATTTGGCTTTTAAAACCACAGCCAATGGAAATCTCACGTCTAGGGCAGATGCCACTGGTAACCTCTTAGCCCCCTGCAATAACATTGCACACTCCCTGTTTAAACAAATCAACGTGAAACTCAATGGTACGCTTATCACCGAGCAAGTAGACATGTATCACCTGAAAGCCTACATACAAACCCTATTGAATTTTGACCGAGAAGATGGGAAACCATTTTAGCCCCAGCCGGCTGGAGAAATGATATCGATTCCTCTGAAACCTACTCAGTGACAAATGTCAAGTCTGACGATGGTGCACATGGCGCGTTATCCGCCAACCATCAAGCCAGCATCTTGACCCAGAAAGCAGAGGCTAGAAATTATTATGCGGGAGG